ATGGAACTGCTCCCTAGGATCGCTGGGAATGCAAGCATCAGCCTCTGCTGGGAAGCTGTGGGTTGCAAGCCTCCTTTCTTGGGCTCCTATTTTGATCTTTGTCTTTCTACCCAGGCCGTCTTCCCGAGCCTCAGTTTCCTCCTGCGTGCAATGCGGGAAGCACCTACCCTACCTCACAAGGCTGCTGTGAGGATCAAATGAGGTAATGACGTGAACTTGCTTCGAAAGATGGAGTTTGGCAAATCAGCTCCCTACCACTGTCGGGGACACCAATAATAAAGGGGGCGATAAGACACAGACATTAGGAACAAGAATTTCAGAACCAGGCTACCTAGATGTTTTAATCCCTACTCTGCTTTTTTCTGTGCAATAACCTGGGGAGATTTCCTGAACTTCTCGGAACTTCACCTTACTCATCTGTGAAATGGGTCTGATGGGGAAAGACTGGAGAGCCAGAATCCGTCAAGCCGTGTTCTCCGTGCCTAGTGCATGAGTGCTGTCCTCCCTCCCCCCCGCATCATCTCCTTCGTTTTGGAGGCAAACAAACCCAGCCATCCTGCCAGTAAGTGACAGAGCTGGGACCCGGCTGCGTACAGAGCTAGTACGAGCCACACCTAGCATTATCGTCGGGTGCCCTGCTCCCAGTGATCTGGGAATGGGACGCCAACACTCCCTCTGCCCCACGGCCACCCTGGCTGCCTCAACATCTTTCCAAACCCCAACCTTTTCCATCTGCTTCTCCAAGGAGTCCAGGGGGTGAGCCCGGGACAGCAGCTGCTTTAGGCGCCCCAGCTCCCGCTCCTTCTCCTCGAAGTCCCGCTGCTGCTGCAGCCGCTCCTGCTTCAGGGAAGTGATCTGGGCCTCGTAGCTGCTGATGGAGTCTGCGGAGGCAGGAAGGGCCGAGGAGAGGGAGGGTCAGGCGCTGGCCCTACCTGGGCGTGGAGGGGGGCTCGCTACCGTCGCCGCTCTCGGTGAGGCAGCTGACCAGAGTGACGGAGACAGCAGGCTCTGTGGGGAGATGGCCCTGGGCTGCAAAGCGGGGACACTAACGACGACCCCACTGGGTTGTTGGCAAATGAGACGACATCTGCAAGGTGTTCAGCCCTCCAGCCGGTACGTAATAAACGCTGAAGGTACGATCTCTATTCCTGCTGATATGTACCAGGAACAAGCAGCCTCCGATAATACAGTAAATTTTTACTCTGGACCAGAGTCCGAGCTGGGCTCTGGAAATAGAGAATGAATCAAACACCAACGCTGACACCAGAAGCCCACGTTCTGATGGGGAAGGCAGCTGTGGAAACAGTTACAAAGCCGCGGGAGAACAGCCCCAAGAGGACCATTCCTGGGCTTGTGGGTCCCAGAGGAAGGAGCTCTTCGCTCTGCCCGCCTGGTCGCGAGAGGACGCCGCGAGGTGAGGGAGGAGACAAAGGACAGACGGAGTCACGGGACAAGCACAAGGAAAGGCTCAGAGGTGGGAAAGTGGCCGCTGTATCTGGGGCAGGGTGGGCACGTGCTGCAAGGGCTGGAGTGAAGGTGCCCGAGGACAGATGCTGCAAAGGGGGCACACAGTGGCAGTGGACACCTCCCGAGGCCGAGAATGCCACACCAAGGAGTTTGGAATTTATCCTACAGGTCAGTGGGAGGTGGGGGGAATGCTGGGTGGAACAGGGCCACTTTTTCCTTAAAGATTTTTTTTGTTTTTGAGAGAGAGAGAGTGTGCATGTGCAAGTCAGGGGTGGTGGAGAGGGAGAGAGAGAGTCTTAAGCAGGCTCTACGCCCAGCACAGAGCCTGACAAGGGGCTTGACACAGGGCTCAATCTCACAGTCCTGAGCTCATGACCTAGCTGAAGTCAAGAGTCAGACGCTTAACTGACTGAGCCACCCAGGCGCCCCTTAAAGTTTTTTTTTTTTTTAAAGATTTTATTTATTTGACAGAGAGAGACACAGCAAGAGAGGGAACACGAGGAGGGGGAGTGGGACAGGGAGAAGCAGGCTTCCCGCGGAGCAGGGAGCCCGATGTGGGGCTCGATCCCAGAGCAGGGAGCCCGACGTGGGGCTCGATCCCAGGACCCTGGGATCATGACCCGAGCTGAAGGCAGACGCTTAACAACTGAGCCACCCAGGCGCCCCCAATTTTTTTTTTTTTAATTTTAAGGTTTTAAGTAATCTCTACACCCAACGTGGGGCTCAAACTCACAACCCCGAGATCAAGAGTCACATGCTCTACCGACTGAGACTTCTAGGCTCCCCAACAGTTTTTATTTGCATAGTTATTTAACATGTACTAACATTAGAACTAAAGGTTCTCTTTCTAGATGGCCTGGGTTCAATCTTCTGCTTTCTAGCTGTATGACCTCGGGCAAGTTATCTAACCTCTCTGGGCCTCAGAGCTTCCCCTGCAAAATGTAAACAGATCCTAATTCCTACCTCACGGAGACTGTTACGAAGATTAAATACTCATAAACTGGGGCGCCTGGCTGGCTCTGTCGGAAAAACATGCAGCTCTTGATCTCGGGGTTGTGAGTTTGAGTCCTATGTTGGGTGTAGAGATTACTTAAATGAATAAAACTTAAATAAATACTCATAATTTATTTAACTCTGACTTTAACTCAGAGCCTGGCACAAAGTAAGTGCTCAATAAATGTTAACTACTGGGGCGCCTGGGTGGCACAGTTGGTTGAGCATCCGGCTTTTGGTTTCAGCTCAGGTCATGATCTCAGGGTCGTGAGGTCAAGCACTGTGTGTGGCTCTGCGCTCAGCGCAGAGTCTGCTTGAGATTCTCCTTCTGCCCTGCCCCCACCCCTGCTCTCTCTCTCAAATAAATAAATAGAAATAAACATTGAGGGGCGCCTGGGTGGCCGAGTTGGTTAAGCATCTGCCTTCGGCTCAGGTCATGATCCCAGGATGGGATCAAGCCCCGCATCGGGCTCCCTGCTCAGCGGGGAGTCTGCTTCTCCCTCTCCCTCTGTGCTCTCTCTTGCTCTCGCTCTCTCAAATAAATAAAATCTTAAGATAAATAAATAAATAAATGTTGACTCTTATTATGACTACAGGTATGCTCCGCATTTCGAAAGCTCACATTACACCACTTCGTTTTTATTTATTATTTTTTTTTTAATGTATGTTTTTCTTTCCTTTTTTTTTAAGATTTTATTTATTTGACAGAGAGAGAGAGAGACAGCGAGAGAGGGAACACAAGCAGGGGGAGCGGGAGAGGGAGAAGCAGGCTTCCCGCGGAGCAGGGAGCCTGATGTGGGGCTCGAACCCAGGACCCTGGGACCATGACCTGAGCCGAAGGCAGATGCTTAACGACTGAGCCACCCAGGGGCCCTCACCACTTCGCGTTTACAAAAATCCGACATTGGTACGTGTTTTTATTAACTAAAAGAAACCAAAGAGTATTTTTCACTTTTACCAAAAAAATGGCAAGAAGTGAAAACAGTGCTGGGCGCTTGTTTTGAAGAGAGCCCTCAGAGAGGCAGCGCGCACCCTGAGCAGCCGCAGGGGCCCCGCCAGCTCCTCCTCGGAGCGCACTACACGCAGCCGCTCGGCATCCCAGAGCTGGACTGTGCGAGCATCTGTGCGTGATCTCCGTACACCTTGTGCACACATTACCAAAACGTGTCGTAAGGTATCAGAAAAGCCTAAGAGGGGTTAGTTTTTGGGTCTGGGAACACTCAAAATTTTTTTCATATAGGCCGCCTGGGTGGCTCAGTCATTAAGCGACTGCCTTCGGCTCAGGTCATGATCCTGGAGTCCCGGGATCGAGTCCCGCATCGGGCTCCCTGCTCGGTGGGAAGCCCGCTTCTCCCTCTGACCCTGCCCCCCTCATGTTCTCTCTCTCTCTCTCAAATGAATAAAATCTTTAAAAAATTTTTTTAAATAAAAATTTTTCCATATAAATTAATGGTAATTGTGCCTTCATTTTACATGCTATTTTGGTTTAGAAAATTTTCACAGGAACGCTCGACTTTTGGATGATGGGGGAAACCTATTGTTATTTAGGACACACTTAAGTTTCTCTTACACGATAGGAAGTTTCTTTTCTTTATTATTATTTTTTAAAGTTTATTTATTTAAGTAGTCCCTACACCCAACGTGGGGCTCAAACTCACAACCCTGAGATCAAGAGTTGCATGTTCTACCAACTGAGCCAGGCAAGCGCCCCGAAGTTCCTTCTAAAATAAATGTTTATGAGTTTTTAAAAAATGGATCTATTTATTGATTTATTTTTAAGCGGGGAGGGGGAGAGGGGGAGAGAGAATCTTAAGCAGGCTCCATACCCAGCGTGGTGCCCAATGTGGGGCTCGATCTTACGACCCTGAGATCATGACCTGAGCCGAAATCAAGAGTCGGACGCTTAACTGACTGAGCCATCCAGGCGCCCCAGCCCCCCAGTTGGGTCTATTTAAATAACAAATACTAAGTAGATAACAGAGTAAATTGTACGAGGAGACAACCATGGGGCACAGGTGGTATGTGGATGCCTGAAATGTGGGAAATACAGCCCCAGAGAAGTCTGGAGCCAGAAGTGGTTGTTAGAAAAGGAAATGACACAGTGAGATGGGAATTTTAGGACGTTCACTCTGGAAGCCAATGTCAAGGCCAGGCCTGCGAGAAGGCTGGGGCACAGTCCAGGGGAGTTGTCACTCTAGCAGGGGCCACAGAAGCAGAGGGTTAGGACGGGGCTGCAAGCTACTTCAGAGACTCTGGCCTCTGACTGGAGAAGGGGGAAATAAGAGCAGAGCCTGGGGGATCTGGGGGGCGGGGAGCTGGTGCATCTCAAGGACCGAGGATGGAAGACAGATCTGAACATGTATGGGGCAGTGCCAATGTCGGGGTGCTTGGGGAAGGAAGGAAACCAGAGGGTTAGACTCATGGAGATTGAGGCTTACATGAGGCTGGTTCCAGGAACTGAAAAGTTACTCATCTTTCAGGGTTGATCAGTCATCAGTGAGGGACAAGAAATGACACGGGGCAAGGGAACAGGTAGAAGCTCGGAGCTAAACTTAGCTGGAACTCACAGAGCTGCTTCGAGCACGGGAAGCACCTCTATGCAAATCAGAAAAGGGCACCCCTTCCTCTGGACCCTGAGGCCTGCCCTGAGCTAGGAGCCCTGCTAACCTAGCCCACAGCCTATCTGTGCCCCCTGGCCCCTTGCTTGTCATGCACTTCCCTCTTATGGGGCCGCCCGGGGAGTCTGGGAAGAGTCTCTGCCTCACCTTTCAGGATGGCCTGCAGTGAAGCCACCTCCTCTTGGCACTGCCGCTGCACTGCAGCCACGGCCTCGGCCTTCGTGCTCTCGCTCACCTCCGCCACGGCCTTCATGGTCTCCATTTCTGCCAGGGCGCCTGCCAGCTCAGCCCGCAGCTGGCCGAGCTCCTCTGACTCGGCCTCACCCTTCGCCCCTTCCTGGGGCTGGGGGTCCAGGGCTGTGGGGGACGGGGATCAACCTCTTTTCCCATCACTCCCGGGCCCGCTGTACCCGAGACCATCAAATCTACAAGTCCTGCAACCTAGTACAGCTGCCACGAGCCTCGTACCTTCACCTGGCCCCGCCCCGCTCACCTGGCCCCGCCTCCTTCTCACCTCGCTATGCCACGTGCGGCCTGGAGCCCCGCCTTCCCCCATCTTTTCCCAGACTAGACCCTCCCTTCCAATGGTCCCGCCCCTTCCCTCACTGGACCACCTCTCACCTGCCACTGGCCCTACCCCTCGACCGCCGGACCACGCCCCCTCCCCCGGTGGCCGCAGGCCCCGCCCCCTCGCTCCAGACGGCATGGCCCCGCCCCTTTCTCCAGTCTCCCCCTCACCACCCCCCCATCCGCCGGCTCCGAGCTCGGCCCCGCCTCCGGCTCTGCCGCCCCTCGCGTGCATGGACGCGCCTTCACGTACCGGCCCCTGGCCGCCGTCGCCGGCCATCCTCGCCCGCGGCCGCCGGCGCAGCTGCCGCCATCGCCTCCGCGCAAACGGCGGGTTCCAGCACTCCCTGGTGACGGCGCTCACCTCTTCCGGGTCCCCTCGGCTGTTTCCGGATCCGCTCGGCTGTTTCCGGACCGGCCCCGGGCTCGAGGCCCCGGCCGGAGTTGGGGACTGATTGCCGAGCCCGGGCCGAAGATTTCCGAGTCCGAGTCCGAGTCCGAGCCCGGCCGCGGGCCCACGCCCCGCCCCTCCCCGCCTTCTTTCCTGGGCAGCGCTGTTCGAGAAGGACGCCTGTCCTTCAAACCCTGAAGAAGTTCTTTCATCAAAGGCCTTCTGGCGTTTCCGCGTGACCTTGGAAGGTCTGCTCAAGTTACACCTCCTCCGGGACGCCTGTCGGCCTCAGCCTAAAGGGGGCGAAGCTCTCGCGGTCTCCTCCGTGGTCCCCTGGCCCCCTCCCGCCGGGGCCTGGCTCACATTACAGCGAATTGTGGCCGTGTCTGCCTGCACCTCCGCCCTGGTGGAGCGTCCCTCGGGGCACGGCTGGGTCGGCTTCACTTTTCTGGGCGCAGGAGTCCCGCGTAGTCCGGTGGAGAAGTCAGAAACTTCTGCGTCCCCACCCCCACCTTGATATTCAACCAGTCAGGGTTTGCTGCTAATCCCCCCTCCCCCTCCCCCTCCTCCTCCCCGTGCCTCGCAAATCCCTCCTCTCCTCCCTGGGCCACTGCCCTAAATCGAGGTCTCATTATCTGTGGACTTTCCAACAGGCGACCTGACATCTTCCCTTGGACGGTGACGTGCATCTCAAACTTAAATCCAGAATCTGGGTTCCCGTTCTCCCAAACCCGTTTCTCCCTCTGTGAAGTACATTCCAGCAGTCTTTAAGTCCTGTAAGCTCTACCTCCAAAGGACTGAATATTCCAGAAGGTGTCCCTTTTTCTTTTTCTCCAGCAGTAACACCATCTCTCTCCTGAACTTCTACAACATCTCCTAACTGTTCCCCTGTGGCCCCTTTTGGCTCCTTTAGTTAATTCTCAAAGCAACTAGAGTGATGTTTGCAAAACAGATCATATGTCAGCTTAAAATCTTCTAGTTCAATCCGATTTGGAAATGGGCAAAGGACAGGAATAGACAATGCACTGATGTCACAGATGGCAAATATGTGCATGAAAAGATGTTCACCGTCATCAGCCATTAGGGAAATGCAAATTAAAACCCCAAGGAGATACCACTGCACAAAGCACACCTACCAGAATGGCAGTGATAATACCAAATGCTGGTCGGTGTGTGGGAAAAACTGGATTTCTCTTATATTCCTGATGGTAAATGTAAATGGTATAGCCACTCTGGAACAGAGTATGATTGTTTCTGGGGCACCTGGCTGGCTCAGTTGGAAGAGCACGTGACTCCTCATCTTGGGGTCCTGAGTTCCAGCCCCACCTTGGGTGTAGACATCACTAAAACAAATAAACTTAAAAAAAAAAAAAAAATCTGGCCAGGTTAACTCCTGCTTATAAATCCCCAGCAGTTTACTGCTCTCAGTAGCTTACTGCCCTGAGATTTTCTGTGTGAGGCAGAGTTTCTGGAGAAGGAGGTGAAATAATGACTATAAGGCTCTAGTCAACTCTCAGGCTTGGAGTTTATCCTGAGACCCTGGGAGCCTTTGAAGGCTGTTGAGCATGAGAAGCACATGACTATTACCAAGGAAATTCTTTCTGTGTAAAGTGTAGGCAGAAAGCAAAAGAGAAGACAGCCCAGAAAAGAGGCTGTTGAAGTGGTTCTGGTTGGGAAGGGAAGAGTCCAAAAAGAGGAGGAAGTTGATTCTAGAAATATTGAGGATGAAAACTGGGACTAGCCTTGGCGACTGAGTGCATGAGAGGGAAGTGAAGAGAAAGTTTTCTTTTGCTCTTCCGAATTTCCTTCCTTTTGTGGACCTTAAAAGTAAAAGGTACTTTACCAGCAATAACTGGGTTGACTGGGGAATAGCAATTCAGGACAAGCAAGCTACAGCAAAAACTATAGGCTAGCCCAACCAACAAAGGAGAGGAATGTTATTTTAGGGAGAAGGAGGAAGTTGGGAGGGGTTGTTTGGAAGAAAGCCCGTTGGAGAAAAGCAGGAGTTCAGGGTGATGATGGTTTTTCATTGGCTGAGCTGCAGGGGTGGTGGATTTCTTGTAGGAGATGCAATGTACAAATGTACATCTTTTCCTGTTGGGGCCTATAACTGATGACTCTTTCCTGTGGAGGGGTCTTCTGTTGGATAATTGACCCGGCTTCCTGTAATTGAGGTGGTGGTTCAGCGTGAGAGCTCCCCCTTCTGGCCTGGTTTCCCTTTATGAACTTTCACACTTGATACAACAAATATTTATTGAGCACCTGCTAGATACTGGGGAACTAGACCGGAAAGATTCCTGTTGTGGAAGAGCCGGCGAACATTCTGGGGCAGGAAGTAGATGAAAGATTAACAAAGAAACAAGCATATTTGGGAACTGGGCAAATGCTGGGAAGGAAATAAAACGGGTGTGAAATCAAAATACGGGGGGGTGGTCAGGAAAGGCCTCTCTGAGGAAGTAACATTTGAATGGAGGCCTGGGGGATGAAAAGGAGACAGGGGAGCGAAGAGCTGAGGAGGGATCCAGGAGGAAGAGCACAAGTGTGAAGGCTTTGTTTGGAGGAGGGGCAGGGCGGCAAAAAAGGTAGAGAAAATTTGAGGTAGAAAAAAAGCCACCACAGCGTTCTGAGCAGGGGACTGATGTGCGCTAGTCAGGAAACCACCTGTGAGACCGATGGAAAGCTAACGAAGGTGATTGGAGGGATTTTGTTGAATGAAAGGCAAACGGGGTCCTACCACCTCACCCTCTGCATTCCCCAATGCCCCACGCTCCCCCTCCGAGCCACCCCAAACCGACCAAAGGGAAGTGGGGGCCCTGACAGCTGGAGGGTCCCCTGGGGTTTGCCTAAAGCAAACAGGAAGCTGCAGCCCAGCGAGCCCGGGCCTGGGAACTGGCAACTGAGAGAGCAGGTCTCCTGGGTCCCTGGACCCTTTCCCTGAGTGACTACAGAGGGAAAGACAGAGATACACCCACACATGCAGAGAGAGAGAGAGAGAGAGAGAGCTAGAGGAGGAGGAAGGGGGGGCAGAGACTGTGGAGAGGGGAGGGGCAGAAGCACAGATTTCAGAGTCGGGACCCCTGAGTTCTACTGCTTCTTAGTCACCAGCTCACTGTGTGACCTCAGGCAACACCCTGCCCTTTGGGGGCCTCAGTGTCCCCATTTCTAAATGAGTTCCTTCCATAACTAAAGCAGGGGCTTCCTGGGGAAGAAGTGGGACAAGAAGGGGCATTGGTCCCCAGTCATTTCTCGGGACTGCTGTGCACGCACTTCAGGGGCAACCTGGCTTGCGCTCTCGGCCGTTGGCTGATGCTGTCTCTCATTAACTGAGGGCCTACTACGTGCTGGGCCCTGGGCTAAAAGTGCCATACGTATACTGCCCTGTTTAATCTTCATAAACAAGATTTTGAAAGCACTATTATTATCCCCAGTTTACAGAGAGAGAAGCAAAAGCCGAGAAAGATGAAGCCATTTAGCCAAGTGGTGGACATGGAGGATTCAAAGTCAAGTCGGCCAGATCTCAAAGGCTGTGGGATGGGCTGGTTGTACAGAGTGGGAAGAAGGCCCAAGGAATGTGGGTCGAGTGAATGAATGGGGTGTGTGTGCGAAGAGAAATGGGTTTAGAGCCTTGGGTTGAAGGAGGGAGGGGGAGAAGGATGGAGCCCTTAAAATTGGAGCCCACTCAATTCAACAAATATTTATTGGGCGCTCCAGATGCCCCAAGCACTGTCCCAGAGCACGGTGCATGTGGTGTTGAACAAGACCGAGGCTCTGCCTCAAGAGGCTTACATTCCAGTGGGAGGAACAGAAAGTGAACAAGCAGACACACAAACAAGGTCATTTCACACGGTGGTAAGTGTCGGGATGAAAATAAAAGTGTGGCAGGGAGGAGACAAGTTTTGTGGGTCTGGAGGGGTGCACGGAGAAGGGGACTGGAGGCATGACCACCCCTTCCTCCCTAGGGGGACTGCCTACCCGCCTGCCCGCCCCCACAGACGCTCATGGTTCAGTGCCCCCCAGGCCCCCGCCTGCCCCAGCATCCCCTGCGCGGCCAAGCTGGGTGCCCCGGGGAGTCTGGCCGCCATGCCACCTCCTCTCCTTCTCTTCTTCCTCCTCTTCCTCACACCCGAGGGAGTCAGGCCCCACGAAACACTGCTGGTGGAGGCTAAAGGTATGTCCGGAGGGTACAGATGGAAAGAGTTGGGGCTGGAAAACCTGGGTCTGGCTGGGTGCTCTTGGCCAAATCACTTACCCTCTCTGGGCCTTCATTTTGTTATTTGTAAAATTCAGGGAGGGGTTGGAAGGACTCTGAGAGCTCATCCACTCCCAGCTGGTGGGGTCGTTGGGTAATAACCCAGTGTGAGGAATGAAGGGGGCGAAGAGTTCCTCTCCCTCTCTCTCTCTCCTCAGAGGGAGGCAAAGTTGAGCTGCCATGCTTCAAAGGTCCCTCAGATGGTCGTCCTGAGCAGCAGGCCTGGTTTCAGAGGTCTCAGTCAGAGCTGGGCCACAGGTCCCAAGGCCTGGGCATCCAGAAGGGGTCCCTGGGCGTCCAGCTGTTCGTCTTCAACGTCTCTGACCAGATGGGGGGCTTCTACCTGTGCCAGCTGGGGCCCCCTTCCGAGCAGGCGTGGCAGTCTGGCTGGACAGTCAGCGTGGAAGGCAGTGGTGAGGTCTGGGCCGGGGCAGGGAGGGGTGGACGAGAAGAGGGTGGACATCCGGCCGCTAAAACAGATTTGGAGGGAGGGGCTCGGGGGGCTGAGGGACAAGCACGCAGCTAGTTCTAGGTGGCTCCTCAGAACTCCGGTGGCTTCATGACTTCAGCACTTGAGCTATTCTTTCACTCTCTTCTCTCTCTGAGTTGTCATTTCTCTCTCTCTCTGTCTCTCTCTCTGGGTCTTTGTCTCTGTCTCTGCTTTTCTGGGTCTCTGTATCTCTCTGCCTCTCCTGGATGTGTCTGTATCTGGTTCTGGGTCTCTTCCTAGGGGAGCTGTTCCGGTGGAATGCTTCGGCCCTAAATGACTCAGGCTGTGGGCTGGGGAACAGGTCCTCACAGGGCTCCAAGCCCTCTTCTGGTTACCCCACAAGCTCCCAGCTGTATGTTTGGGCCAAAGACCACCCTGAGATCTGGGAGATAGACCCTGAATGTGCCCCACCCAGGGGCAGTCTGAACCAGAGCCTCAACCAAGGTAAGGTGTTGGGGAGATGCCAGGAAGTGGGGGTTCCAGGGATGGGGGATGGTGATTGGGAACTGGAGGGTTTGCAGGGAGGAGACCCCAAGGATTACACTTTCCTAGCCTTGGCTCTCCTTGCCCCAGACCTCACCGTGGCCCCTGGCTCCACATTCTGGCTGCCCTGTGAGGTGCCCCCTGCCTCCGTGGCCAGAGGCCCCATCTCCTGGACCCACGTGCGCCCTAAGAAGCATAACATCTCCTTGCTGAGCTTAAACCTGAGGGAGGATGACCCAGGCAGAGAGATGTGGGTCCTGGGCACCCTCAGGGGAGGGGCTGTTCTGTTGCTGTCCCAGGCCACAGTTCGAGATGCTGGCATCTATCGTTGTTACCACGGCAACGTGACCATCAAGATGCAGCTGAAGGTCATTGCCCAGTCAGGTAGAGTTTCTCCCAATTGTGGGGCATCTGTGTGGGGGCTACTGGGAAGAATTGGGAGCCAGTCAACCTTGGCTCCCCCAAACTGAGAGCTAGTACCAGACTCTTCCTGCACCCCAGCTTCTATACTGACCACTGACTCCACCTCTGTCCTCCCTTGTTTCCAAATCACTACTTTTCTGGGTCTTCTCCTACCACTGGTTGCTCCTTCCCATCCGCTTTGGAAGGGTCTTCCTCCCCCACTCCTCACTGTTGGAGCTCTGAGGCCTCGTCTTATCTCATCAGCACTTTCTCTTGTCCTTGTCCACACTCTCTTCCTGTTTGACCTCCTTTACTCTCATGGCTCCTTAGGCCAGCATGCCTTAGTGACTCAATTCCAGGCTCCGTACACCTCACCCCCAGCCATTTCCTGTCATTTGATGCCCCCGCAGGCTCAAAATATACAAAATCAAACTCAACATCTTCCCCAAGCGTAGTCTTTTGGGTGTCTCTGTGTTAGTGAAGGACCTGCCCACGGGCCGAAGCCAGGAACCTGGATATCCTTCCTTTTCCTCACCCATCCATCCATCAAACTGGTCACAGTGCTCTGCCCCTTCTGTCTCCCTTAATACAATCGTCCCATGCTACCCTAAGCACAGTTCTCAACCTCAACCTCAAATTTCACTCCACACTTCACTCCAGTACATTGCTGCTTCCCACCTCTAAGTTCACCTTGTGAACTTGACTCTGACCTTCACTTTTGAACATGACTGTCCTTAATTGCAGCAGGAAGCTTATCATCATGCTCCCCTGAATCCTAACGTAGAATCTGACTATAGTCATGGTTTGTTGCATAGATACTGCCCCAGGCCCCAGGTCAGGCTCTGGGGCGCAGTCCCTAACCTCAGAGGAAGGGAGGCCAGCCCTCCTTGTAGCTTATGATTCTCAAGATCTGTGTCTTGTCCATGTTCCCCAGACTTACGGCCCTTTGAGGTCTTGAGGCTGGGAAGCAACACGCCAGTCTGGGGTCCCCGTCTCATAGCTGCTTCTCCCCAGCAGTAAGGTATTGGCTGCTAGAGACTGGTGGCTGGAAAGTCCCTGTTGTGCCATTACTTTATCTGATCTTCTGCCTGGGTTCCCTGGTGAGCTTTCTTCATCTTCGAAGAGGTGAGTCATGTCCCCCAGCCCATCTGCCCAACCTACCCCATCTTCCCCAGGATGGCCCACACTGGCCAGTCTGACAACCACCTTTCTCTCCTCCCATACCTCCCCCACGGACCTCCAGTCCTGCTCCCCACTCCTCTAACCGCCCTCCAAACTTACCGGGCCCCTGGGACTTTGAAGTCCCTTCCCCTCCATTGACCCAAGTGACCTCCCCAGTGCCCCGCCAATCTTCACCCTGCCTCCTCTGATCACGCCCCTTAACTCTCACCAGCCCTGATCCTCAGGAGGAAAAGAAAGCGAATGACCGATCCCACCAGAAGGTAATGACGCGAGAGCCCCCGCAGTCTCCCATCCCTGCACTTTTGCTCAAAGCTTTGCACTTACTGTTTCCTCGGCTCAGCGTGTCATTCCCCACCTCTACCGTTGAAATACTGCCCCAGCTTCAAAGCCCAGCTCCAAAGCTACCTCCCCTTGTGAAGACTCCTTGGAGTGACCCCAGACCCCCTCCGTAGGCTGCGGCAGAACAGAGGAGCTAAATACACGTGACTACGGTTTATCCTCTGAGGGCCAGGTCTCACAGTGCTAACCCCCTTCCTCCGCCAGGTTCTTCAAAGTCACGCCCCCCCCGGGAAGCGGGACCCAGAATCAGTATGGGAACGTGCTCTCCCTTCCCACGCCCTCCTCTGGCACGGGTAGGAGGCACCGCCAGGTCTCGGACTCCGAGCTAGAGCCCCACCCCTTTTTCTCGTCACTCCAATCCCCGGAGCGCCCAGTCTCCCCGAGCTCGGAACTCCGCCTTCAGAAAAAAGAGCCCGCCCCGGGGCGCGGAGTCCCGCCCAGATCCGAGCCCCGCCCCTAGCACCAGAGCCCGCCCCCAGAGTTCATGGCCCCGCCCCCAGGGCGCGGGACCTGAAGTCCCGTTCCGAGAGCCGCACCGCCCCCGAGACCGAGGCCACGCCCCCAGGTGTAGATCCCGCCCCTTCGGCTCAGGGCAAGGGTGGGGGGGCCCAGCCGGGAAGGCCCCCCTGGAGCCGGGAGCTTCCCGTCCCCTGGCCAGCCTCGCAGACCCTTAGCCTTGACCGCCCCCATCTCTTTTGTCCCGCTACAACGCTCCTCCCGCCAGGACGCGCCCTGAGGTGGGCTGCAGGCCTGGGGACCGCCGTGCAGTCTTACGGAAGCCCGCGCAGCGACGTCCCGGAGCCCGGAGCCGCGGGGTCCCGGAGCCCGCCGCCGGCAGGTGATTGATTGTGGGGCTGTGGGGGGGGTTCCTCACGTGAGGGGTGTTGGAGCGGTCTGCGGCTGGAATACTGGACTGGGGCCTGGAGGAAGGGGGCTGTGACTCGGTTCCCACTCACATCCCGAAACCCAGGCCCAGAAGAAGAAGGGGAGGCCTATGAGGAGCCAGACGGTGAGGAGGGCTCCGAGTTCTACGAGAATGACTCCAACCTTGGGCAGGACCAACTCTCCCAGGGTAAGACTGCGCCCCCCCGCGGCTCCCCCACCTTCTCAGCGCTGGGCTGTGGGCCCTCGCTGGATCCTCTCCTTCTCCACCAGATGGCAGCGGCTATGAGAACCCTGAGAATGGGGCCTTGGGTCCTGAGGATGAAGACTCCTTCTCCAGCGGTAATTTGGGGTCCTTGTGGGGCCTCAGAGGCTTGGGAGGACCCAGACGGCCGTGGAGCCCCTACAGGGCAGGAATGGCCCCTGGAGTTCTCTGTTTTCCTGCAGCAGCAGAGTCTTACGAGAATGAGGATGAAGAGCTGGCCCAGCCAGTCACCAGGACAGTAGGTATGTGTGAGGACTGTCACATTAATGTGGGCTGTAGGGTGGGGGGAGTGTATGTGTGAGCTGGAGGCCAGGAGGAATAACTTCCTTTCTCTTCTCTAGACTTCCTGAGCCCCCATGGGTCAGCCTGGGACCCCAGCAGGGAAGCAACCTCTCTTGGTGAGAAATGCTAGGAACCATCCTGCCTTGGGCCTATTGGGTTGACCTGGCTCTCACCTCTGACTCCAGGCTCAACCTCAACCTTGACCTTGACTCTGACCCCAGGTGTAATTCTGGCCTTGGATCGATTCCTAACACTAACCTCAACCCCAATCCTGATCCCAGGATTTACCCCATCCCTAACTATGAACATCAACTCTGATCCCCCTGTGATTCCAGCCTGGATTTTGATCTCTACCTCATGCCAGCCCCCCTACAAACTGCAGCTTTGACCCCAGTTGTCTCTACAGCCTCCTCACGGCTCTGACTTTGACTTTGACTTCTGCCAGTTCTGTTCTTGACAGTGATCATAATCTAACCCACATCTGACCAAACCCTTAACGAGGGTCTTGAATCTGACACCGACCCTAATCTCTCCTTCCTAGTACAGCATGGGTCAAGTCCTCCACCTTCCTCTGCCCCTCAGATTCCCTCTGTGTCTTAGGCTGCACTTCTGTTCCCCAAGTCCAGCGTGGCTCTAGGCCTCCAACTCTCCTGCCCAAGCAGGCTCCCAGTCGTACGAGGATATGAGAGGGATCCTGTATGCAGCCCCCCAGCTCCGCTCCATCCGGGCCCAGCCTGGTCCCAACCATGAGGAAGGTGGGTGCTTCTGCTTCTGTCCCCTGTTGTCCTCTGAGTCTCACCCCCTCCCAGCCTACTTCTGGGTCTAGCTGTATCTTACCCTTCCTGGTGCTAATCAGATGCAGACTCCTATGAGAACATGGATATGGATAATCCCAATGGGCCAGAACCAGCATGGGGAAGAGGAGGCCACATGGGCACCTGGAGCACTAGATGATTCCCTTCAGGTGAGCCGGAAACTGCCTTCTAAGGAAGGGGGAGAAAGAAGGAGATGAGTAGGGGTGGAAGTGATTCTCAGGGAGGGAGAGAGGAAAGGGTTCCCAAGACCTGGTGTTTGGGGAAGGGGGGGGCGGGCTTCTGGAACCTCCCATCACCATTTCTTCTCCATAGCCTGGGCCTCCTTAGGCCCCTGAGATCCATACCTGATTCTGAAATCTGGGACCCTGAGCAGACAGCATCAACCTCTGGAGCGACGTTGCCTCGGATGTGTGTGTGTGTGTGTGTGTGTGTGTGTACCAATGAAACTTTGGCTCCCTTGCACTCCCCCAATAAACTCAATGACTTCTTCCGATCCTTTGATGTAAATGCCCTTGTATGGGAGGGGAAGGGAAGGTGAAGATGCATGTTTTCCATCCCCCTCTCGAATCCAGCAGAGGAGGGAGAGCTGAATCCTGGGTACAAAGGAGGGGCCTTTTCCCTCCAGTGGCTTGGCCTGCCCCTGTCTCCCTCACTTGCCTGCCATGGCCACCGTCCAGTTGTTCAGTGATCGTTGCTTCAGCGGCCATGGGGGCCCAGGGAAGGGGAAGCCGGCCGGGAATGCGTGGTCATCACTGGCCTTTACCGAGCATCTCCTCTGTTCCCACGCCCATCAACCCATTTCATCTCTACAATAACCTCACAAGGTCATCGAGCACTTAGGTGCCAGAATTGTATCTTAAGTATTTATGTCTATTTTACGTATATAGTATATATACATACATACATACATACATATATATAGGTTTATGTATATTAGCTCATTTTATTTTCATAACCAACCCTATTTCAGAGGTGAGAGTCTGAGGCAGAGAAGCTGAGGAACATGCCCAAGGCTCGCCTAGCTGGGGTCAGCGCTCGAACTCTGACGGTCTAATTCCAGAGCCTATACTCAGTCTTGACACTCCCTTTCTGGTTGCAGTTTTGTAGATGGGAAACTGAATGTCAGAGAGGCAAGTGACATGTCTAAGGTCACATGACTGGTGCTTCGCAGCACTAGATGTGAACCCAGAAATCTGGCTGCAGTCCTAGCCGGTGTGCCTACTCTCTGATAAACTACTTCTTTTTCTTCTTTTTTTTTAAGATTTTATTTATTTATTTGAGAAAGCATGAGCAGGGGTGGGGGCTTCAGGGCAGAGGGACAAGCAGATTCCCTGCTGAGCACGGAGCCCAATGCCCGGCTCCATCTCACGACCCTGAGATCGTGAGCTGACCCGAAATCAAGAGTCACTTAACCGACTGAACCACCTAGGCGCCCCTCCAGAATTCCTTTTCTTAATGCACCAGTTCTTTCCTCATAATGTCCCGTTTTTTAGAGCCTCTATTCCTTCTTTATCTCTGAATCTTTAAAACTTAACTTTCTCTGTGTTAACACTATTATTATGTGCCTGGCATCATTCTAATAAGTGCTTTACAGGTAGCATCTCATTTTATCTTTGCAACAATCCTATGAGGGCGGGACGCTAAAATTATTCTCATTTTACAGCTGAGAAGACTGAGTCACAGAGAAATCAAATACTTCGATTGCTAACTGACCTTAGGTAACTTGCTTAAGCTCAATGACCCTCAGTTGTCCCAATTATAAAACAGCATTAGGGAGGGGGCATGGTGTGGTTACTATTATCTGTACAACGGGTTGGATTTTCCCGTGGTGGTGTCATTGTGGAAGGTTTTTTGACCTCTTTGTGTTTCTCCTGCCTACAGGAGTCCCCTGGGCCCCACTGCCATCCCTGGGGGCCAGCTTGCCACAGTCTTACAGGCAACACAGGTTTCTTACCATTTTATTCATGAGTGAGTATCTCAGAGCAGGTGTTCATACCAGAGGTTTGGTTGGAATCCGAGCCCATACTTTGGTGAACCTTGGGTTCACCTGCAGTGACTTTTCCCATGCACTCCCTGTTGGGTGGCTTGCTTCCATACTGCATCCCAGGGCCTGTGGATGGATTTTTTTTCTCTGTCTCCTGCGCCCAGAACAGACAGCCCATTCTCAGCTCCTAGCTTTGTGCAGGGTGCTCAGTTTCAGTTCTGTGCTGTTCCTGGGACCTCAGTTTGACCTCTGTCCCCATGTGGGGCTTAAAACCCCAATTCTCGGGGGGGTTCCTGGGCCAGTCGTTAAGCATATGCCTTCAGCTCAGGTCATGATCCCAGGGTCCTGGGATCTGGCTCTGCATGGGACTCTCTGCTTGGCTGGGAGCCTGCTTCTCCCTCTCCCTGCCACTCCCCCTGCTTGTGCTCTCTCTCTCTCTCTCTGTTAAATAAATAAATAAAATCTTTTTTTCTTTTAAGGGAGAAGCAGGCTCCCCGCCGAGCAGAGAGTCCCATGCAGAGCCAGATCCCAGGACCCTGGGATCATGACCTGAACTGAAGGCAGACACTTTTTTTTTTTTTAAGATTTTATTTATTTATTTGACACAGAGAGAGAGAGAGAGCACAAGCAGGGGGAGCGGCAGGCAGAGGGAGAAGGAGAAGCAGGCTCCCCACTGAGCAGGGAGCCTGATGTGGGGCTCAATTCCAGGACCCTGAGATCATGACCTGAGCCGAAGGCAGACGCTTAACTGACTGAGCTACCCAGGCACCCCCAGAAGGCAGATGCTTAACCAGCTGATCCACCCAGGCACCCCATAAATAAAATCTTTAAAAAAAATCTTAAAAAAAAAGCAATACTTACTAAATTTTGCGTAGAGTATGTTTGGAGTTTGGGAGGTGGGATACGAACCTCCAGCATTACCTTGGGCTTCCATTTTGGACCAAGTCCCTGTGGCAAAGAAAAACAAATTAGTAAGAAATCCAGATCTAGGGTGCCTGGGTGGGTCAGTCGTTAAGTGTCTGCCTTCGGCTCAGGTCATGATCCCTGGGTCCTGGGATCGAGCCCTGCATCGGGCTCCCTGCTCTGCGGGAAGCCTGCTTCTCCCTCTCCCACTCCCCCCTGCTTGTGTTCCCTCTCTCGCTGTGTCTCTCTCTGTCAAATAAATAAAATATTAAAAAAAAAAAAAGAAATGCAGATCTAGCTCAGCATTCAAACTCCCACCTTACCCTTCGGCCAAAATAAGCTTTTCCTATTGCCACAGTCCCCGCCATTCCCTATTACCCTTCATCCACCTGCTTTATTCCATTTAGCTTTCCTGCCTGGGCCTGAAACATCTGAGCATGTGACTCTGGGTGAAAACATCCTGCCTTCTTGGGCGTGAATCCATGTCGGCGTCTTCTCTGTGCCCCTGGTGCCAAGCCAGGTGGTGGCAGAGATCAGGAGCTCCAGAAATGAGTGGGGAAGGAGGGAAGGACCAACTTGGAAAGCCCTGAGAGGCAGAGTGCAGAGGATGGAGCCCCTCCTAGCCCCCCCACCCCGGGGAGGTCTGGGAGGGGGGGAGTTCAGAAGCAGAGGTGTGGCAGTTCCAGCCCAGTGCTCTGGGATCAGACTGTCTTGGTTTGAATCCCAGCTCCCCTCAAGCTCCCCTTGAGCTGTGTGCCTCAAGCTCTCTGTGCTGCAGACAAACATCTGTAAAATAGGGATAATAATTATATCTCCCTTAATGAGTCTTTTTTTTTTTTTTTTTGAGAGAGCAAGAGTGAGAGAGCACGAGTGGGTGAAGGGCAGAGGGAGAAGCAGGCTCCCCGCCAAGCAGGGAGCCCGATGCGGGGCTCGATGCGGGGCTCGATTCCGGGACTCCAGGACCATGACCTGAACCGAAGGCAGAGGCTCAACCGCCTGAGCCACCCAGCTGCCCCTCCCTTAATGAGTCTTAAATGGGATGTAAAGCTCATGACATTACCATAGTGAGCACTCAAAGAGTAGCCAGTATTTTGATTTGGCATTTACTAAGGGCCTGCTGTGTGCCAGGAGCCAGGGGGCATCAAGATCATTTGGATGATCTCTCCAGCGCAGAGACTTGTCCAGGAGGAAGTCACACTCCAAAGCTTCTCCTCATCCACATGACCTGATTTTTTGGCAGGGGCTGGACCACTTCTTCCTCTTGAGCAAAGTTGGAGAAGAAGGAGGCTTGAGGGAAATCCCAGGTCCTTGGGGCCACCCCCTGCCTCCGTAGTTGGCAGTGGCCTCCAGATGGGGTCCAAGGCTGGGAGAAGGGTTTTTGGTGCAGTCTCTCTGCTCTCAGCCTGGCGACAAAGAGTGGCTGAAGGTTTCCTGGGACCGGGAGGTCCTTGGAGTCCCCTCTACCAGAGCCTGGGGTGCCTTTGTCCCCTGGTAAACAGCACCACCTGCTGGAGTTGTGCACCTTCAGTTGGGCTGGGCTCCGTCTGCAAGGAGGATGTGAGGTGTGGGCTGACGAGTCAGGGTGTGTATGTCGGGGATATCAGTCAGGAGGAGGGGGATGGACTGGAATGTGCGTGGTGATCAGGAGGCTGCACTAGATGGATGTATGAAGTACAGGTTATGTGAACATCACGTGTGTGAGAGGCAGTGGTACTTGGGTGTATGCTGTGTGCGTGTTGTGTGCAAAGTGTGGTGTGGGACGCGTGGGGTGAGGTGTCAGGGGTCATAAGTTGGAGGTGATGTGGGAGGTGTGAGGTGTTGAAGGAGCGTGCCTGTGCCGCGTTGGGGTGCATGATGAGGAGTTGCAAATAAGGTAGATGTGCGGAGGATATGTAGTTTCAGTGTGGTTGGTGGGTGTGTTGGGAAATGTAAAGAAAAAACAAAATCTTCTTCCAACACTGAAAACCTCCACCGAGGTAGCAGAGACACAAAAACAATTTTTTGGGGGGGAGATTTTATTTATTTATTTGCCAGAGAGAGAGAGAGTGTGAGAGCACAAGCAGGGGAAGCAGCAGGCAGAGGGAGAGGGAGAAGCAGACTCCCCGCTGAGCAAGGATCCCAAATCAGGACTCGATCCCAGCACCCTGGGATCATGACCTGAGCTGAAAGCAGACGCTTAACCGACTGAGCCACCCAGGCGTCCCCACAAAAACAGTTTTTAATATTGAAAGCATTAAACCAGACTGTGATGCACATTACAGGCATTAACCTGAAGAGTAATACTGTCATGGGGTGCCTGGGTGGCTTTTGATTGAACGTCCGACTCTTGCTTTTGGCTCATGTGGTGCCGGGTCCTGAGATCGGCCCACTTTGGGTTCTGCACTGGGCGTGGAGCCTGCTTAAGATTCTCTTTCTCTCCCTTTCTCTGCCCCTCCCTTCCTGCTCACTTGTGCACACACTCTTTCTCTCTAAAAAAAAAAAAAAAAATACTGTCAGTTATTTTTCCAGCAAAAATGGGTTTATTCAGGAATAGCAGAGAAACGTTAGCCGGGAGTGCAAGCTCTGACAAAATCATAGGAAAAGCTGGAGAGGAACTGTTCTTTTATAGTGGAAAAGGGGGAGGGGGGGATTTGGGAGGGGTTGTCCATTGGAGTGAACTGGGAGTCCCAAGCATAGTGGCTTCTCATTGGCTGAGCTGTGATGGCCTCACTTTGGCTGGGCTGTTGCTGGGTGAAGGGGAAATCTCCTTCTACTGGGTAGACTTTTTCCTCTTGCAAGTACAAGCTAAGTCTTTCTCTCTCTCTCTTTTTTTATAAGCTGTTTCTTGTTGGTTCTGGAAAGGGCTGCAAGGAGTGATAGGACATGAGAGCTCCCCACTCTGGGCTCCCAACTTTTTTTTGTTTTTGTTTTTTTAAGTAAGCTCTGATGAGGGATAGAAGCAGAGAAATGTTCGTCTTTAGCCCAGAAGGCTGATCTAAAGCCTGTGTAGTTCCAACAAGGATCAAATACATGCTGGCTGCTACATCCTTTTTTTTTTTTTTTTTTTTGGCTGCTACATTCTTAAAGGGTCTCATGATTGTCTGTACGTGTCACCAATAGTTAATATCGAACTGAATGATAAGCACCAGAGAAATCTTGTGAAGGTAGTTTTACAAGTAGAAAATCGAAGAAGAGGGGCACCTGGGTGGCTCAGTTGGTTGAGTGCCTGACTCTTGATTACCCCTTGAGTCGTGATTTCAGGGTCCTGGGATTGAGCCCTGTGTGGGTTCCGAGTGGGGCTCTGTGCTCAGTGAGGAGTCAGCTTGAGATTCTGTCCCTCCCCCCTCACCACCCCCGCCCCTCGTGCTCTCCTCCCCTCTCTAAAATAACTAAATAAAGTCTTAAAAAAATTTTTTTGAAGACATTGATGATTTAATATTCCCTGCACATCCCCTCCCCCTTTGAACACTAAGCATATAACCACCAGCTTCATACAGCAAAGGTGCCGCTCTTTCTGCCCCCAGGTCTTGTCCCTGCGCTACAATAAAAGCACCGTTTTGCACTGAAAACATCTCAAGAATTCTTCCTTGACCGCCCACTCGTGGCCCCACATCAAGCTCTACGTCCAACGTGGAGCTCGAACTCAGGACACTGAAATCAAGAGTCGCATGCTCTACCCACGGAGCCAGCCAGGTGTCCCCCAACTTCATTCTGAATACGTTTTTTTCCCTTCAGTTTCACACAAGGAATTCTACAGGTAGCCAAGCAGGTACAACCCCTTATCCTGTTTACAAGATAAAATTTCAAAACCCATATCTTGTTTCCAAGATAAACAATAAGTACGCCTCCTGTAAGAGGATTTAGCAACACCGTTTGTCCCGTATAGTTCACCCTAACTTTATCATGGCCATTGGCTTTTATCCAGGGGAGAAACAAGCTTCTCACTAATTCATGACCAGAGGTGGTTCAGTGTCTAGCAGCGAGACCCCCACCGAAGTTAGGCTGTTATTCTTCCCTGAACGGGGGAGATTCGGAGCTACGTCCGCAGATGTTTGCATTTCAAAAAGATGATTTCCAGCTCCAGGAGTCCCTGAGTTATGAGAATTCCTAGAGGCCGACTTAACCACGGTAGAGATTTACATACATTTGAAAAGGACCAAGAAAGAAATTCTGAAACAAAAGCAGGGAGGGGGGAAGTCACACGCCTTCTTTTCAACCGGGAGAATTAAGCCTCTTAGTTTTCATCTGGATTTGCCCGTCCAGGTGTTGTTTGCGAGGCGTGTTGTGCTTAGGTGTGGGCTGCGGGTGGGTGTCGCGTAGGCGCGGGTTGTGAGGACATTGCGCGTGAAGCTGGTCAGTAGGCGTTGGGTGCGGGGGAGGGTATGTGTGATGTGGGAGGTTTTTCAGAGTTGAGTGGGGTTGAGGTGCTGGGCTGGGGTGTGTTCCGTGTGGATTCTGCACATGAGGAGGGGCGTGCGCTTGGGGTGGCGATGAGTGGAATTACTAAGCCCACAACCCGGTTACGGTGAACAATAACGAGGATACCCCAGAGGGCTAAGGTCTAATTCCACGGTGGTTTTTTTCGTTTTGTTTGCTTGTTTGTTTTTAAGTAGCCTCCACTGTGGAGCCCACCGCCCGGAACCCACCACCCCGAGATCAAGACCCCAAGACCAAGACCTGAGCTGAGGTCTCGACGCAGAGGCCCAAGGCACTGAGCCACCCAGGGGCTCCTAATTCCGCAGTTTCTAAAAGAAATTCTGAGGGGCGCCCGGCTGGCTGAGTCGGTAGGGCCGGTGACTCTTGGACTCAGGGTTGCGGGTTTGAGCCCCAATTTGGGTGTAGAAATTACTTTTTAAAAAATGATAGTAGATAAATAAATAAAATAAAAGCAATTGGGGAGGCCGCCCTCCTCCACCTTTAGTCTGAGGCCTTAAGGACTACAATTCCCAGGATGCCCCGTTCCCCCACCAACGGGGAACCCCGATCTCTAATTGGAGGGCCTGGAATGGGCTGGTCAGGAAGGAGGCAGCCGGCCAATGGATGAGCTGGAACGAATCGAAACCCAGGCTGACTGCGCCGAGGCTGGTTGGAATCTTTGGCGCTTTGGTTTCAGTGGTGGACACTTGATGGGCGGGAGAGCCGACCAATGAAAAGGCTGGGAGGAGGATCCAGAGGGTGAGGGCGGGGAGAGGTGTTGACTAGCAGACGGTTAACCCAATGACGGGCGGAAGTCGCTGGAGGGGGCCGGGCGAGGCGTCTAGAGGCGGGGGACTGTGGTCGGCGGGTGTACGCTATGGCGGAGCCGGTGAGGAAACGGGGCCGCCGGCCTCGGGGCGGCGGTGTCGGCCTCGGAGCTCGCGGGGCCCGGGGCGGCCGGGGCCGGCGTCCTCGCGTCCCGCGGTCTCCAGCGCATCGCACCCTGGACTCGGAGTTTGTGGACTTGGTCAGCGACAGCGATGAGGATATCCTGGAGGTCGCAACGGCGCGCGGCGCCGCGGACTCGGTCGAGGACCCTCTCCCGGAGCCCCCAGTGCCGGCCGCCCCCCGGGGCGACAGCGATAGTGACAGCGAAGGAGCGGACGCACCGCCTGCCGGAGCCCCGCGGGCCCCGGTCAGGCGGCGGCGGCGGCTGCTGCTGGATCCGGGGGAGGCACCGGTTGTTCCGGTGTACTCCGGGAAGGTGCAGCCCGGTCCCCGGGAGGACTAGCGCAGAAGGGCTGGGTTTGGGGACTGCTGGAAGTTAGGCTTCTGGGGTTGGTCTTGGGGGACCAAATGGAAGCAGGGATTGGGGCAGAGAGATACAGGGTTTCTGAAGATTGGAGAGGTGAAGAGGTTTGGAGTATGTTGGGAGTTCGGGATTCCGGGGAGCTGGAGTGTCGGGAGCAGAGAGAGGCTTAGGGGCCGGGATCCCTGATGCTTCAGAGAGGGGCTGGCAGGACCTGGGACTGGGATTTGGGGCGTGTTGGGTTTTGAGGTTGGGGCCCATTGCTAAGGATCCAGGAAGCTGGGGTCGTGGAAGTTCAGAGAAGACAGGGGACTCCAGGTGGTAGGGTGAGCTAGGGATCTGGGATTTCCCAGGATTCCGAGATAGCAGGGTGGCTAGCAGCCTAGTAAGAGGGTAATAGAACTAAACTTGCATCCTCAGAATGCCTTGGGGAAAGGGGGTGTAGTAGTAAGTAGACTCCAGTTTTGGATCTTGGGGAAGCTGGGCTCCTAACTCCCGCAGAGAGGGCTTGGACTTGGGAGTTGGAGGAAGGGAAGAGTCATCTTGTTTTCCCTTTCAGTGGAAGGAGGACTTGGGATTGATTCACTTTTGTCTTTACAGGTGAAAAGCAGCCTTCATCTCATCCCGGATCACCAGTCCCTCCTGAAACTCTGTCCCCCAGAGGCTGAGGAAGGTAGGGGCGGGCTTCCAGGGAGAGGTGCCTAGTGCTGGCCTCTCTGAGGAAGCTTCCTGGAGTTTACATCCCTGTGGTCCGTTTTTCCCTGAAGCTCAGGGGAAGGGCCTGGGAGAGGTGACGCCTGCATCCTAGCCAGAAAAATGCTCCAGTCCTGAATTGAGATGGAGCGTTAATCAGGAGGCATAGGAAATGCTTCCAAACCACCCTTCCCCCCCACCTGATAGGCACAAGAGTGTGCTAATCTACAGATTTCTAGGCCATCTCCAGAGATTCTGATTCTGTAATCCTGGGGGCCCGGGAGGAGGAACTGTTGAGAATCTGTAACATCTTGATACATCTGCAACAAGTTCCTTGGGAACATTCTGGAGCCAGCATGGTGTTCTTTGAGTCTTATCAGGGCTGCCAGCCTTGGTCCTCCCCCAGTGATGTGGTTTTTGCAAACCACCCAAAGGCAGTGAGTAGGAATCAGGTTTAATAAGGAATTGCTCCAGTGGGCAAATGCAGCCCTTGGACCGAGACTTCTACACCATGAGCAAGTGTGGTAGGCCAATCAAGAGCTGATTTAGGAACCAGCTGGCCTGGGTTTGAATCTCAGCTCTACCCTTTAGTAGCTAGCTGTGTGACCTTGGGCAGGTTCATCTCTCAGTGCTTCAGTTTTGTCATCGGGAAAATGGGGATAACTGTGGACCTATGTCAAAGGATTTTGGTGAGAGTTAATTAAAGAGAATACATAGAGAGCCTTCTCTTGGGCCACATATACGGTTTAGGACAGTACCTGGAGCATACAAGTGAAAAGGTACCTCTGCCCTTGCTGCTCCAGATGTAGGCCCAGTAGTGCTGGGCATCTCCCGGGAGCTTGTCAGAAAGGCAGAATCTTGGGTCTGTAGCAACTGCCACGTTTATCGAGGACAGGGTTTCTCAGCCTCAGCACTACTGACATTTGGACTGAGTAATTCTTTGTGTGCAGCTGTCCTGTGCATTGTGGGACGTTCAGCAGCATTCTGACCCATACCCACCAGAGGCCAGTATCACACACTCTAACCCCTTCCCCTCCTCACTGTGACAACAGAAATTGTCCTGAGACATTGCCGCATGTCCCTTGGGAGGCGAAATTGCCTCTGGTCAAGAGCCGCTGATCTGGGATTTATTATCATTGCTTTGTTTCTGCAGTATTTATTTTTATGATTAATGATGATCCTTTGTTGGTGGCAAACAAATGGAAAAGAGCCTCTATATTCTAGAATAAATCTCTAGTTTCCTGTTATAAGAAATTTTAGTTACAGTGAGTGATCTAAAGAAAGATATTAAATATTACAGAGGTATGGGTGGCAAGATGTGATAGTGATGCTCACATGGATGAAATTTGAGAAATACGGGCTAAGAGGGCTCGTACTTATCTCTTTACTTCGTTCCCTCCCTGCGCCACGCTACCTCCTACCCCATGCTCCCTAGTCTCTCTCTGCCCATCCAGTCGAGTACAGGAAGGAAATAAGAGAAACCTTTTTTTTTTCTTTAAGATTTATTTATTTATTTGAGAGAGAGAGAGAGAGAGTACACAGAGTGGGAGGGAGAAGCAGACTCCTCACTGACCAGGGAGCCCAATGTGGGGCTTGATCGCAGGACCCTGGGATCATGACCTGAGCCGAAGGCAGATGCTTAACTGGCTGAGCCGCCCAGGCCCCCCAAGAGGAACATTTAAAAAAAAAATCCTTTGCCAACATTTGCTTTGAAGTATGTTTTATCACATACGTAATGGTACATACATGTGTAATAAGGAGTACACGTGTATTAGGTAAATACATATTTCCTAGGTTATGTGTATTTTTTTGTGGGATGCAGCTGATCAAAAAAGTGAGGAGAGATTAAGTTAATCATAACTTAGTTGAAGCGGGCCACTTTGTGACTGTCCACACTCACCATGCTGGCTCGTGCCTTAGCACGGGGCCCAGACACTCCTGTTCTGGCAGACCCCAGCTCATCCTTTTCTCTGCAGCAGGCATTTCCCTATGACTTCCAGCACTTCCCCAGCATTATTGCGTGGTTGTGTGTGTGTGCACGTGTGCGCGTTTTGGGGCTCCTCAGTTTCCTCCTTTCTCGGGACCTTGTGAAGCCCCTGACATGCCTCTGCTTGATCTCTTGCTGCCCTCCCTTACCTGACCTCTTTCACTTTTCTTCCTCTGTCCCCAGAGGCAGATATGGCAGATTCTAGCAGTCCCCATACCGAGGATGCCCCGTGTCCAGATTCTCCCTGGAAGAAGAAGCTGAGGAGTAAGGATGCAGAAGAGAAGACAAAGGACGTGTTTCTGTGAGTGAGGCCGGGGCACTGGGGCCCCCGGAGCAGAAAGGGAGCCGGAGGGGTAGGCTGAGGTGGGCAGGATCCTCGGGTGGCTCCTGAAAGGGTAAGGAGAAGGGATGGAGGGAGTGGAGGGAGTCTCCAGGCTCAGGTGAGGAATAAAGTTCCTGGGAGGAGAAGTGGGCCCTTCAGGGAGTGGAACGTCTCATCTCTGTGTCTGACCGGGTGTGGCTGTGGAGATGGCCCTCTTGCTTCAAATCCAGCTAGCCATCTCTTTAACTGTCTCTGTGGTTCACTTCCCTTTTCTGGAAAATGGGGATAGTGATGCCACCTGTGTCAAAATTTTTGAGTAGATTAAGAGTTAACACTTGGGGCGCCTGGGTGGGTCAGTTGGTTGGGCGACTGCCTTCGGCTCAGGTCATGATCCTGGAGTCCCGGGATCGAGTCCCGCATCGGGCTCCCTGCT